GCTCCGACTGCAACACACAGCAGCAGCGATGGGGGAGGAGAAGCGGCACCAGGTGATGTAGAACCTATTCGGTGATCAATCTGAAGAGGAAGAGGAAGAGGTGGATTCCGAGCATGAGTCCAATCCGCAGCCCAGTTTTGTATGATCCTCTAATTTCAAGTTTCCTTTCTATTCTGATTCCAAAAGCATGTTTGCGAATGAGTAGGGTTTCAATTTGTTCTGTAATCTTAGCCGAAGGAAGATATAGGTTGTGCTTTTGTTAATGGCGGTGGATGATTTGGATGAAAGTATGTATCTTGGGGATTTTTTTTTGCTTGCAGTTGTTTAGGCCTGGACTGAAGAAGTTTTGTGGAATGAGATTCTTATGAGTAGTCAATTTTAGTGGGATTGTTGTTTCAATCTGGATAAAGAATGATGTCGTTTTCCTATTCGGTCTGTCCTTTGATGGTGTAGCAGATCTGGAATTTTGTGAAATGCTCTTTCTGATTAGAAATATAGAATTGGTTTTAAATTATTTTCTTAACTGTTTGGTTCTGATGTGCTTTACCGATAAATCAAGGGTTTGCAAGATATTTTTTTGTTGTTCTCTTTAAATGGTGGGTGTTATCATTCTCTCTTTTTTCATATCTGTCTTGCCATTGACTGGGGATGTGGGTGATACTGCTACCCTGTACGCCGCAGTACAGGGCTGTAACAAGATTATCTATTGTGCTACTGCACTTTCTACTATCAGCGGAGACCTCTACAGGGTTGATCAAAGAGGGGTCTTCAATCTTACTAAAGCATTTCAGGTGTGATCCTTATTGCCATAGCCTTGAAATACTCTTTTTTGACATTTAGTAATCTGTTTTGGTTTTGATGTCGTTTAAGTTCATGGGTTGGTTCAATGTTGGATTTAAATTTTACCGTTCGAGAGTTGCTTATGTGAAGCTTTTGACTGTTTGCATTGCAGGACTACAACAACAAAATGGCGCAATTACGAGCTGGAAAGAGTAGCAAGAGCAAACTTACAATTGTAAAGTTCAAGACTTCGGAGTCAGTGGATGGATGGGAAGTTTGTCATGGGACTTCCTTTCAGGATGCGGTTGCTTCTAAGTATGATGGAGGAATGGATGCCAAGTTCGAATGCACTTTCACCGGAGATGCTGTTTCCTCCTGCAAGAGAAAGACTAAAGTGGGGTTTTGAGGTTCTAGATGGAAACCAACTATTATTCCTTTTACTCTATTTCTTGCTGCATTGTAGGATATGTTTTCACCAGATGAGGGTATTTTTCTTTTTATTAGTTACAAGATTTGGTAAATAAAATTCATGGTATCCTTCTTATTATTAATTACTTAGAATTTGAACACAAAATGAATTCATTTGATAGAAAATCATTGGCAACAGAAATTACCTGATGAATTTGCCGCGCAGCTGCAACATTCTAGCAACATTTCGTGAATTTGAGAAGCAGCTGTGCAAGTTCAGTTGCGTTCTGTTTACTTAATTTTCTGTGTTTTTTCTTTTGCTGTTTGGATTTAGGAGCTAAAACATTTTTCTTTTGCAATATTTTTAGGTGGATGATGCGATCTGGGCTGCTGAAAATGCCACATTGAAAGCTGAGATGAGTGGAAAGAAGCTAATGCACTCATGGAACAACTTAAGCTCAACCCTCAGCTTCAGACGTTTCAAGCGTGGCTTTGGGATTCTGCAACTGTGAGTATACACTCTTTCCCGGGTTTAAGGACTATCAAGGTGCTTAGGATTTGCGTTCGGTGTTTGAATTAAATAACTTTGGGTTAAACCATTCTGTAATATCAGTAGGTTTGTTTTAGGTATCTTATGGTTTTAGAATTGCCTGTGTACAAAGGATTATTATGGCAACGAGATCATGTTGCTCTGCGAAGCTCTATTGATGGTCGTTGTTGTTGGAGTTATATTAAAAAGAAATATTTAAAGAGGGCTGGAACCCAGTCAAAGCTGGGGGGCTAGGCCCTCACGCCCATATTATATTACTGAAGAAAAAACATTACAACAGGGGGGACATAGTACCTAAACCCTGATGATCAAAAAAAAAAAAAAAAAAGAGCAAACATAAACAACCACTCCAAGCAGTCAACATGGCCATCACATATGGAATCCAAAAGGTTGACGCCCCATTCGCTGCATATAGGACTATAATTGAAAAGAAGGAAATTAAAGAAAAATAGTAAAATGCTGGTGATGATGAATGAAGAATTAAAAAAAAATTGAAGTTAAAAAGTATGGACGACGGAAACTTTGATCCACATGGTAATGTCATTTGAAAAGAAATAGTAAAATGCTGGTGATGATGAATGAAGAATAAAATTAAGAAATGAGATTGGCATTTGAATATTTCGTAGTTTATATTGAATTAGGCTAGTGTGAATTGAAACAAGTTAGAAAACGCACCTTAATCAATGTTAATGTGTGGGATGTGAGCAATCTTAGGCCAGTCCTCACCTTTTTCTTTCTTGCATCTTTCGCTTAACATGGGGCAATTCATGATCCACAATGTAGAAAGACGAGGAAAATAAGGCAACGACAGATTTTCCGTTGATGAAGAAGAAGAAGCATTGTTATGAGTGTGGGCCCTCCACCATCCCTTCAGAACAGGGCAATTGTATAACTCGAGTGTCTCCAGGGAGGGAAAGAATGAGATCCTCATCATCTCATCACTCATACTATTACTGCTCTCATTCTCTGACATGTACTCCAACTTCTCCAACCCATGAAGTTCAAGTTTCTTAAGGGAAGGCAAATGATCCAAGGGCGGAAGACGTTGGCATCTCTTACACCACATTAATCGGAGATTAACAATATTTATGAGAGAAGAAAACCAACTCGCAAACCTCACACCACCATAACCCCACACTTCCAACTGCTTTAGTTTAGAATGGGGTTGCAATACTTCCATTGACTTTATAATATCCTCCTCATCAACCGCGCTTATATCTTCTCCCTCTTTCCAGATTAAATCCAACGAACAAAGATGGTGTTTGTCCTTGAGAGGTGTACCAACATTTGATTCTGACACCACATGCCTCAAATTGCCAATGAGTAACTTTCCCCTTAATTCCTTAAGGGTCCCCAGCTCAGCAAGACCAGCACTACCGCCCCTCCCCAAACAATTGCTTTCGCTCAAAACAAATCTATTCAATGTACGAACGCCATTCAATTCACCAATTCCACGTGGCATTCCACTCAATTCCCAACACCCTTCCAAGATGAGATGCCTTAAGTTGATCATTTTTTTAATGTCTCTAGGCAATTCCACAAGCCTACCACACCAACTGAGATCTAGTGTTTCCAAATTCGAAAGTCCAACCATCCAATCTGGAAGTCTCTCCATGGAATTCTCACTAAGATCAAGATATCTCAAATGTTTCATTTTTCTAAGACAATTAGGTAATGTTGTAATTCCTAATTTATTGAGACTAAACATCCGTAATGACCTAAAATTTGAAACAATTGTAGTATAAAATGCATTACTTGAGGAACTTTGGTGATCATACCAACTTTGTTGCCGAAGAAAAAGAAAGGTTCGTATCTTGCTTGCTTTTAGCAAGGATGTTGGCACTTCCCATTTCGACAAATCAATATCAAAATTGAAAGATACATGACAAAGCTTTCCATGAAAATTCTTTTGGTTTGGCTCAACTACTATGCTTCTAACCCCCGACACGGAGATTGCAAGTTCATTCATAAGATCATGCATTTTACAACTTTTTATTATACCAAACTCATTTGTTTTTTCTTCTTGAAAAAATGATCTCTGCAATAACTCCCTATAATATTCATACGCAACATCCTCCAAACCTTCGTTTTCATCGGATGACTTAATGAACCCTTGGGCCACCCAAAGTATAATCAATCTCTGTACAGAGATCTCATAATCAGGTGGGAACAAGCTACAATAAGCAAAACAATGCTTCAAATGTGATGGGAGCACATCATAACTCAATTTAAGTGTTGGCAAAATATCATTTTCTTCTTGATTTATTTTTGAAAGGTTCTTTTCTTTGAAATTCAACCAATATGTTTCGTCATCTTTGGCGAACAACATCCCACCTATCGTCCTTATAGCGAGTGGAACTCCCTGACATTTTCCAGTAACTTCCTTCCCAACTGCCTTAATTGTTGAATTCTCTGGCTCCTTTCCATCTTTATAAGCCATTTTCTTAAATAAAGACCAACTTTGCTCCTCATTCAAACCCTTTAAGGTGTATGGTTTAGCTAAGTCTGGTATCGTCGCAACTTTTTTACTACGAGTGGTTATTAGTATTCTGCTACCTTCTCCACCACCCATTAACAAGTTCTCCAAGTTAAGCCACTTCTTTTTATCCTCATTCCACACGTCATCCAACACAAGTAGGTACTTCTTCCCATCTACTTTTTTTCTAAGATCATTTTGCAACCGCTCTATCCCATTATGCTCGGATTGAAGGATTTTCTTAACAACTACATCCAACTCAAATACATTAGAGACACATGTCCATATTTTCAACTCAAAATGACTTTGAATCACCTCCTCGTTGAATATGAGTTGCGCAAGTGCAGTTTTCCCTAATCCTCCAAGTCCAACTATGGAAATGGTGGACACATTCTCAGATGAGATGGGATCCAACAAAAGTTGGATAATTGCCATTTTATCTTCATCTCTCCCTATAATATTTTCCTTACGGACAAATGAGTGAGTGACCTTCTCTCTCTTTACAAATGGTGTATCTTCACGATTTACTTCTAAGTGAAAGGTTCTACGATTTGCAACCTCACTCAGCCTCTTGTTAATATCTTTTATCTTATGACCCATCTTTAGCCCAAAAACAAGTTGATTTGAGCTAGAAAAGAAAAGACGCACCTGTAAGAATTTGAGTAGACATAATCATTATTTCGATAGAATTATATTAATTAAGTTAATAGTGTTTTGTAACGGTAAGTTATATGATACATTCAAACAATAATATAGAGGACTTATTGCAGTTAATTATGAGTTATTGACAAACCTAGTGTATTCGTAATAGGTGGATATCAATAGGCTTATGTGACTATGAAAAGGTTCTACGAGATGCAACCTCACCAAGCTTCTCGTTAATATCTTTTATCTTATGACCAATCTTTAGCCCAAAAACAAGTTGATTTGAGCTAGAGAAAAAGAGGCGTACCTTCTTTAACAACTTAGTATTTCCAGGCACCATTTGTCTCCGCTGAGCTTCAGCATTAAACTCATCCAGCAAGTCATCAGCTTCATAAACTGCGTCTTCTACGCTTTGGAGCCACTGTTTGACTTCATTGTTGGCTTGCTTTTGCTCAGCGTCAAGAAGAACAGCTTGGAATCCGGCAACTGTATCCCGGAGCTTGCAGAGCTCATCTTGGACACCCCAAATCAGTCCAATCTCTTGGAAAGCAAGGGAGCCAAGCCTTCCAATGATCCCTTCGGCAATGTTGAAGAGAACTCCTTCCGCCATTTCTTGTATTCAGGACAAGAAAATACACAGGCAAGTGAAGTGAATTAAAGTAGAAGTTTGTAAACGAGAATATGGTTTTGAGTAGTGAAAGATGGCTCGTCCCTGCTCGTCTTTATACATGTCACTCCACTTCAATTAAAGAATAACTTGAATGGTTAACACACTCATTCCCATTCCACTTTAATTAAAGAATAACTTGAATGGTTAACACATTCTATCCCTTTTCCACAAGTTCTGAATGGTTAACATATCCTATCCCTTTTCCACAAGGTAAGGCAATTATGTTCGACAAAGGAAGTCAAAAATTGGGTCCATTTGGATGAGGAAATTTCAAACCTCAATCCAATATTTTTATGATTTCATATAATATGGCATGCTTATTTATACAGAATATAAATTAAAATCATTTTGATTCTTCAATTTCATACGCTTACTAAAACATGATATGCTTTATTTTTACTAAAATATGAAAATTTTAAAAAGAAAAATATATGGAAAAGAGAACAAGTGGGGTTTTTTTCGCTTTTTTTTAAATAAAAAAAAATTAAAAATGCTCTGATGATATGTAGGCGAAGTTTGAAAAAAACATATCAAAACTTAGTTTGTATGAAATTACATTACTGCCCCAAACTCATAATCAACATTAGAGAACCAAACCTTATAGATTATTCCCCTGATCTTTCCAATTTCTATAATAATAAGGTAAGCTCGTTGGATTCACCTCATCCTCAAAACTAAAAAAAAAAAAAAAGTTTGAACTCTCTTCGTCTGATTTCACCCCAATTGTGTTTTCACTCTTTTAGTTGACAAAAAGCATTTTGTTAGCCAATAGTTTAGATAAGAATAGGAACAATTCCCCGAGCTCACAACTAGTTTAATAGTTTTTCTTAATTAAATCAATAATGTAGTACAAATTCAAATCCTTATGTTTAAATCACTCCATCCACAGACCCCTAATTCGTTAATAAAGAAACAATATTCTCCGGCCAAAGATAAACTAAAGAAACAAGAAGCACTTCAAGGAAACAAATTGACCCACTTTACACACCATCTAAAAGATTATGATGGTGACGGAAAATTCACAACCAAAAACTCAATAATCAAAGTGAAAATGAGATAAAACTCTTGTTAACACTTTAGAACAGTTCAATACTTTAATTTGACCACCGTATCTTCGTTTCTGCGTAAAACTATTGGCATCTAAACTCTCTCCCGAGACGTAAATGAGTGAACCTTGAGGGTCACATTTCATAGTCTTGTTTATTAGCAAGTTCAACACACGAATTTCCTCATTTATCATGCAATTCAAGAGCTTAAGATATTTGACTACTCAGCTTTATGCCTTTCGCGCCTGAAGAGACGATAGAACGATGACAACAGCCAGTGCCAAAAGATGATCAACCAATTATCCCGTTTGGGTTTAGGTTATGGGGTTGGTCCGAAAATTCCCTTGTAGATTTCTTTTTGTTTCTGATAAACAAGGCTGTCGTGTTCAGCAAGCTGACATAACTCTCTTGCAATAGCTTTGTCTTGAGGTGCAAATTTGCTTGCCTTTAGAGAGTCTTCCCGTGCAGCATCTGTCTGCCCAAGCTCTGCTCTGGCTTTTCCTCGCCTAAATAGCACTTCGACGTTGTTTTCATCCTCTGTCAGTACCTGCGAGCATTCATTCGTCCAATTACAGTTAACACAGTTGCATTGACAATTTAAGGGTATTCATGAAAAGGTAAATATCTGCCAAATCCAAGCGAAGAGAAAAATCGGTTAATAGACGTTAGTTGCATTGACAATTTTTAGTTCTAACAGCCATTTAGTTTGAACAACATGATGAAGCATGGGCAGTAACACACCAAAGAGATCATAAGAGTCGCATAGGACCTAAAATTCGATTATTAACTGAAGAATGGTGCCAGTGAGCCTAGAAATTTTTACGGGTCCATAGTAAGAACATTTTCATTTTCTACGGCAATCCAAAATGGCAGGTTAAAGTGAATGAATATTGAAACTTTTGGGATGCAGTCATGCTCACAAATAAACCTACAAACCCAACTTTCTAGTGTCTAATGATGAATAGCACAATCGCTGAACACACAAAATTAGATGACTTTCTTGCGATAGCATTACACTTACAATACTGCATTGTCCAACGGCTTCTTCATAACGCTTGCGCTTTATAAAAGACGCTGCCATGTTAAGGTGGCATGGATTTTTAACAGCCAAAGCCATGTCCCTGTACTTCCCAAACAACTGGAACATGAAGTTGTCACCCATATACGCTATTGCCTGAGAAAACCCACTAGAATCTTGTCAGAAAGGAAATACAAAAAAGAGACTGGACAACTCAAAAGCTCATCAGCCATAAATAAAATATGTAAGCATTACAAGCGTGTAACCATTTCATACCGTTGCATTGCCTCCTCTAGTTTTTCCTCTTTAAATAAAGCATTTCCACTCATCCTTCTTCTATCTGCTGCTCCAATCCTTTCCTCCACAGTCATGTCACTACGAGCTTTCCCCTATGAAAGGCAAACCCCACAAATATACATGGTACTATATTACCGAAGTAAATCCCTGGAAGAGAGATTCTGAAACTTCAATTGGTAACTACTTGGGAAGACATTTGAAAGCAAGTGAGCAACTTACTTCTTTGGTTTCATCAAATCCAATAAGCTCAACTTCATATGATATATCTGCCAATGGTGGAACATTCGGAAAAGAAAAGCTCCCTTCTTTCCCATACCCCAACTCCCAGCCTACATGTAATAGGGCATGCTCTCCAGATTTCATGCTGGACACCCCAACAGCCAAGCCAGTCATTTCTTTTTTCTCTGTTGTAGTAACAAAAATACACTACTAAGAAGAAGTCCATTCCATTGAATACCCCTAGATAATGCTTAAATGCTTATGAACCCAAATAATCTGGAATGACAAGTAATTATGAATTACAGAGAATAAAAGCAATAAAGAAATCACAAACTAATTGCAGACTGAACAACGAACATGCCAGAACTCGTTTGCATATACTTTGTACATATAAAAAGTAACAGACTACTCGGCAAGGCTAATACCTTTTCCTAAAATAATTTCAAGTGGTCGTTGTTCATCCCATGTGTCTTCAAACTTGTGTCCCGTGCTCTCAGTCCATGCCCTGTAAGGTACCATCACACATATGCCAATCATTCAGTGATTGAAAAAACCAGAGTAAAAATTCACTGCAAGATATTTCTACATGTATCTTAGGCATCCCTTTTATAAACTTTAATGCATGCACATTTAATTCTCCCATATACATACACAACTTTGTGAACGTGGATGTTGTGTGTCTGCTTGCAAGCCACAAGCTCATTCATGTCTTACTCCCATCCCATACTAACAAACACATGCCCACATAACAATTCTTAGATTTTCAACTAATGTACACAGAACAGCACTACCAAAAAGGAAACCACTTGACACTTACAGAAGCATGTTGAATACTTGGATGGTATTTGACCATGACCTTCCTTAATGATTTGATTTGTGACTTTCTCGTGAAGGATTTCCACCTTAGAATCAACTTTTGGGGGCCATTAGCATCTTCTGACACGAACGAAGGTACCATCTTCAGTTACTGTTTCATTTTCACCATCTTGACCTACAAACAAGATGAAAAGATGAGTAGTAGTCGATATTAATATATGATTATTTGGAAATCTAACTCACTCATACGCAGAGGGGAACGACAATCTTCCCCTTTCCCTTGCACATTATACAGGTACTACATAGCTGCCATCCCCACTTGTACTACATGAGTTTTGGAACACAGGATTTCTGAGTTACTCAACATAAAAGCATGGAGGAACGATGAATCAGTGTACTTTGTCATAATGTCTACCTTATTATTTCTGAAATCTTATCAATTAGTCAATAAAAACAATAAGTTTCTGGCTCAATAATGACCGATAGAAGAATTGTTCTTGAAGAAAACGTCTCCATGTATTCATTTAGTCCAACTAAATCACTCGAAACCGCGCTTATCAGGTTAATTTGACATTTAATTGAAGCTGAAAACTTACTACGAGTCTAAGATTTGACATATATTTGCTTTTACAGAAACCGAGTGTAGCTGAAAGATTTGATTGAGCGTAAAAAGTGTGAATTAATACTTGAACTGGAAATTAAAGCCAAAAATATGAATAAACATACCAAGTAGTTGACTTTCCTGCTCAGCCTGCTCCCGAACATCCTGCATTACTTCAAGCTTCTATAATCCAATGGGTCTTCTCAAAATTCTACAAATACCCAAATCAAAGACGCAAAATGTAATGCAATTGGATTCGAATTCAAAAACAAAAATTAGGAAGGGTTTCGTTTTCTTTGGAATTTTCTCGGGAAACAAACTGAAAACGGAAAGTAGAAAAGGGAAGGGGTGTGTTAATAGTTCTCATTCCCCTTTACTTCTCACACTATCTTGTTAATTTCTGTCAATTAATATTCCTCAATTCATCTGATCTAACAGTCGTAAATTAAAAAGGTGTATAAGAAATAAAAATAGATATGTGGATATCACACCCCAAAGGAAAAAGCGAGACTTACTTGTGTGATGAGATACAGACGAGAAGAGAGGAATAGAATCGGAGTAGGATTCTCTTAACTCTTTTTTTCCCTCTCCTTCCGTCCTCTCTTATTTAAACGGTTACGGTTAAGCCACGTCAACATCTTATTTTAATTTTTTATAGCAAGAAAAATACAAAATAAGAGAATGTGAGGAAAGAAGATGGAAATGGATGAGAAGAGGAGGAGAGAAAATCATAGTCCAATAAAATCTGTATTGTGTTTTGTTTCCAATGATCGAAGAAGATTCTAGAGCGAAACAAATTAATTAATTCATTAAGGTAGTGTTATCACATATCCATTTTTACCTCTCACACACGTCTTAATTTTCAACCATCGGATTAAATGAATTAAAGTACCAATAGCCAAAAATTAATAAGAGTATGTGAGAGGTAAAAATATGTGCTTGAATATCACTTTCTTTAATTAATTAATCTTTCCAGTTTAAATCTCTTGTGCACAGCCATTTAGTATTACATTCCAATGATATTAATCTTCACTTCTAAGTAAGAGATCTTAGATTATTGGGCTAAGCCTATTTCCCCACTCTCGCATCCCTTAGTGCAGATAATATTATTTGTTCAACAAAATCTGTTGTGCTCAAATAGCCTTTGCCCATCCACTCTCGCCTCACTTACTGACTCTAAAAGCTGATCAACACTTATTATGCTTAAACTTTCCACTGCAACATTTGTGCCAGGGTCGGTTTGATTTTTCTATAGCAGATGGTGACCTTAAAGCATCCTCATCACCTTAAGGGCTGGTTTGGTATTACTGTATTTTAAAAAAAAGTTGTTTCTGCTGTACTGTGAGAATAAGCAGCTGTAAAATAAAGCAGTAGAGTGTTTAGTAAATTTTCTTGTAAAAATGCTTTTAAAAAAAAAGTATTATAATATTTGGTAAACTTTTATGTAAAACAGATGTGAAAAAAAATCGATTTTTCAAAGTTAAGTTTTGCAGCTTTTTGTTTTTGGTTTTTCTTTTTTTATTTAAAACTGTGAAAAAAAGCTGAAGCTGAATGTTTAATAAACACAAAAATAACTCCCAACTTTTTTTTATACTAGTTTTTCTTAGAATCACTTCAGTACAACTTGACTAGTACGGTAAACAGTAGAAATCAAAGTTCTAGCCATAACCGTAATGTTAGACATGTTTTCTAACATCACGGCCATCACGTCAAGAACAGGACCATCTCCTACCTGCACAATATAAGAGCAATCAAACCTACCCTGTGAGACTACTTGTTCCATCTTTAAAGAAATGTACAGGATGTTACCATCACCTTATGTGTCAACTGCACAAGGCACTCATCCACTGCTCCTTTTTGTTCTTTAATTATTCTTTAATTAGTTTCATCATGTCAAAGTGCTCCAGCCCGCAAAACAGCCTGGCACCCAACCCAAGCCTGGCAACAGACCAACCCATTTCAGACAGATCCAGAGGCTGGTCTATTTGGCTGGCGCATGCAGTACACTTGTGACTGGGCGCGAGTAGGAGACAAGGGTGCAGGCGGCGGGGCCCGCTTGTCAGCCTACTTGTGTTCACCTGGATTAGGGCTACGTGGTCCTCCTAAGTGTTGTTGGATTTCCAACAGTAAAAAAATTTTAAATTTGAGTTTTTAAATGGACCGTCCGATCACAGATCAACAGTCCATATTTTTTTCACCAAAAAAAAAAGAAAAAAAAAGGCCCAATGGTCATAATTTTGACGGTTGGCCACGTGGCAACTCGTTGGCTATTGGATTTGAATATTTTTCAAATTCAACGATCCAGATTAATTAACAACATTAAAATTTATTAAAAATTTATTAAAAATTATGAATATTTTTTTAAAAATACAGAAAAATTTTAAAAAATTATTTTTTTTTTCTATAAATACCTAACTCTCATCTTCCACCTTACACTACATTTCAATATTTTCTACACTTTCTACACTTTCTACATTTGAATATTTTGTACACTTTAAGAGAAAAAAATGACTTTGTGGAAGCTCATTGAAGATGTTACGTTGTGTGAATGTTGAGTTCACACTACTCATGACTCGATTACAGGTAATGAGATGGATAAGCAAGAAATATGGAGTAAAATTAAACCTATCCTATAAGAGCAATCAAACCTACCCTATGAGACTACTTGTTACCATCACCTTATGTGTCAACTGCACAAGGCACTCATCCGCTATTCCTTTTTGTTCTTTAATTATTCTTTAATCAGTTTAATTAAATATATAATAAAAAAAAAAAGAAGACGAAAATCACTTTTCTCATATAATATATATTTAGAAACCACAAACATCATGTCATAAGAATTAGGTTGGTTGTGCTGCTTTGAGTTTTCAATCTCTTGTTTGGCTTCTCGTGACAAGGGGATGGAATGCACTGTACTTAACGACAGTGTTTTGGGGTTTAATTTCAATTTATTTACAAGTTTGCCATTCCTTTAAAAACCAATTTATCTGTCCACCGGAGCTTTTCTGCGTCGGTGGATGCTCCGCTTCGACTACTCCTTCTGCTTCTTCACCGCTTCTTCCCCTTTCCCTCCTCGTCTCGTCTGCTAAACGACGACTTTTTCGACGACATTCTCTCGCACCTACCCGGCTTATCCTTCGCATCAGCGGCGTGCGTTAGCAAATCTTGGAACCAAATCTGCAGCCGAATCCTCGCTAGCCCGAAGCTCGCCTCTGCTCTCTCTCTCCACCCCTCGCCTAAGGTTTGGTTTAGAGTCTAGACCCCTGTTCGGTTTCCGAGAAAATCACAAGCTCAAATTTTCTCACACTTTTTCTCAAGTTTTGTGTTGGAATTGATAGGTTGCGGTGAAGGAGGTTATCGAGAAGGTTCTGGCTGGGCGGATACGGCCTCATTTCGTTGTGGCTGATATTGGAAGTGTGTTTGGATTGTATGGCATTTCCAAGTTTGTATGTGATCTTGCTCATATAAACCCCTTAATCTTAATTAGTATCTCTGAGCACGGTGAGATTTCTGTATGATTTTTTTTTTTTTTTTTTTTTTGGGTTTGTGGGTTTTAGAGATTTTTCTGTGAAAGCATTGACTTTTATATGATTTTTTATTGTGGGTTTTGATTGTTTGGTTATTTATTTGGGTAATTGAGCTGCTGGATGCTCGAAGTGAGAACCTTTTCGCCCATTCCTATAAGCCAGTCCGGCCTAACCATAATCCAGTCAGGATCTTTTCAACAGCATCCTCTGGCAATTCAAATAAAATCCCCTCACCCATTATATTTGAGAATCTTTTTCTGATGGAGTTTTTGATGTTTTGCCGAATAGGGTTGAAATCCATTGGCTAGAACACAATGGCATCATCAATAGTATCCAGTAATTCCCGGGGATCAAAGTCTAATGGCAATAGGTACATTGATTATCAAACCCTAATTTTAACTGTTTGGATCATTGTGGATTTGGGGTGGGTTTGTTTTGTTTTGTTTTTGTTTTAATTTTTTTAAATTGTGTTGCTCCTATTTGCTGTATATTGGCTGAGGGGTTTCAGTGTATTTTTTGTTTTGTTGACTGGATTTCGCCATGTCGGATTGGTTTTGTTTGCTGCGATTGGCGAGGCTTATGTTATTGTTGATGGGTTTGGTTAACAGGGTTTTCATTCCTTTTCAGATTTGTTTCAACACACTTCTCGAAATTTGCAGGATGCTATGGTGATATTTTCTATTATCTAATCAAATGGACAATTTAATTTCAGTAGTTTGAGGGCTCCGACCGCAACACACAGCAGCAGCGATGGGATAGGAGAAGTGGCACCAAGTGATGCAGAACCTTTTCCGTGATCAATCTGAAGAAGAAGAGGGAGAGGTTGATTCCAAGCACAAGTCTAATCCCCAGCTCGATTCTGTATGATCCTCTGATTTATAGTTTCCTTTCTATTCTTATTCCAAAAGTATGTTTGGAAATGATTAGGATTTCAATTTTTGCTTTAATCTTAAGCTGAAGGAAGATATAGGTTGTGGTTTTGTTAATGGCAGCGGATGATTTGATGAAAGTATGTATCTTGGGGATTTTTTTTGCTTGCAGTTGTTTAGGCCTGGACTGAAGAAATTTTGTGGAATGAGATTCTTATGAGTAGTCAATTTTAGCGGGATTGTTCTTTCAATCTGGATCACGAATGATGTCCTTTTCCTATTTGGTCTGTACTTTGATGTTGTAGCAGATCTGGAATTTTGTGAAATGTTCTTTATTGAGAATGAAGTGCCACAAATTGAAAACGAATAAAAAAAAATTGCATGTCTTCTGATTAGAAATATAGAATTGATTTTAAATTATTTTCTTGACTGTTTGGTTCGGATGTGCTTTACGGATAAGTCAAGGGTTTACAAGATATTTTTTGTTGTTTTCTCTGTGTTAACTCTGCTTTTACTCCTTTAAACGGTGGGTGTTATCATTTTCTCTCTTTTTTCATATCTGTCTTGCCATTGACTGGGGATGTAGGTGATCCTGCTACCCTGGATGTTGGAGTACGGGACTGTTGTGCTACTGCACGCTCTACTATCAGCGGAGAACTCTACAGGGTTGATCAAAGAGGGGTATATAATCTTACTAAAGCATTTCAGGTGTGATCCTTATTGCCATATCCTTGAAATACTTTTTTTGACATTTAGTTCGGTTTTGATGTTGTCTAAGTTCATGGGTTGGTTCAGTGTTGGATTTGAATTTTACCCTTTGAGAGTTGCTTACGTGAAGCTTTTGACTGTTCTAAGTTCATAAATAATATTCATGGTATCCTTCTTGTTATTAATTACTTAGAATTTGAACACAAAATGAATTCATTTGAGAACAGATAGTATTTTTATGTTTTCCCGCTTTGTTTTAGCGATAATCAACTGTTCTTAAGCTGTTTTCATAGTGATTAGAACTTCCTTTAGAACTAATGAATCAAGCAATCGCAAGATAAGCTAATCGAAACAGCACAAATATGAAGGAAAACAGGTTGTGCTTTCTTAAGGTATCAATATTTTTGAAGTTTGGAGGCTTATGTCAATCTATGACAGTTCGAATCGTTGTATCTAAGTATGCATTATACATTCAATTGAGCGAAAGACGCATGTGTGCCAACGAATTTCGAAGAGTTTGGCTTGGTTTTCTCATTTTGATCTTTAATATGAAAGTGTGAGGCACTTGTTCGTTGACTAATTGAGTCCCTTCTCCAAGTTTTTAATAGACATTGGGTCACTGTAATTTGCTATTCTGGAAAAGAAACAAACTGTCATTGAAGGGAGAAGAAATGTGCAAAAACTAAGTTTCTGTAAGCCTACACTCATATATGCCTAATATTTTATTTTCATCTTTTCTTGGCAGGTATTTTCAATAATAGATGCTAACAGTTTTCTTTAACACTAGGGCCTTTAACTTAAGGGCCCGCTTGACAACCATATCGTTTCTTGTTTTTGCAGAGGTTGTAGTAATTTTCCTTTGACTGGTCTGTTGATAAGTTTGTTTTTGTAGATACAGAGAACTACGTGGAAGATCTCTGTGTGAATATCAGGGTCCGTACATTTCCCTTTTTAGTTCTTGGCAATACAAGCATCATCAGGTTTTTGAAGAAAACTTGAGAAATCAATAGATTTTGTTTGCAGCTTAAGAAAACTTAAGAGACTGGTTCAATTGGGTAACGAAAAAAGGGAAGAAGAGAAAAATATTTGTAAACACACTGTACGTTTGAAGAATTTGTTTATACTTATGGAGACCATTTGATTGCTAAGGAAATCGAGGAAAAGAAAACACAGAAACTAATTAAGAGTTGTTTGAGTTGTTTATAAGAGAGAGGACTTTTAAAAAACAAGTAATATTTTTGTTTATGTAATGGTTGTCATGAATTTCCTTTTCACTAAACAAAACATAATCAGTTTATTTGCTTTACTGAGAATGTAGCGTTTATTGTGATTAATTTTGGGTTTTGGAGCAGATATTTGTGTCCTGAGCCGTATCTAGAGTAGATTTTGGAGTTCCTACGGTGTTAGAATATTCTGTTACTCCAATGCATTGACATATATTAACGTGACAGATTGTTTTGCTTCCAATGCATCAACATATATTAAAAAGAAATATTCAAAGAGGGCTGGAACCCAGTCGAAGCTTGGGGGCTAGGCCCTCACGCCCATATTCTATTACTCGAATGAAAAATATACAACAGAGGAGACAATCTACATAAGGCCACATAAGAATTGGCATTTCTGTTGAAAAATAATAATGTTCTTTTTTTTTTTTTTTTTTTTTTTTTATATGCTGTTTTTGCTGATGCGAAATTTTTGACTCCTTTGAAAATGATCATTTCTTCTGTCTACTACCAACATCCAGCAATGGCACACTCGCTCACATTATTGCTCTCAAGCCTCGTATTGGCACCGAGGGTTAAAAAACACTCAGGACAAACAGTTTATTGAATTGCCTAGATCAACCAGACAGTAAGAATACTCTGACGAAGTAGGTCGTAGTTAATTATGAAGGGCATTTATAATTCCTCCTATTAGTTCTATCTAACAATTTTTAATCTATTTCTTAATAACTTGACCTCAATTCCTTGCGACTTGGATATCCCTCTTACCCAAACGTTTCAATTTCTCAATTGCTCAAGGGCAACCTTTGCATATACCAGATGGAAGCTCTCAACGACTAGTTTTGTCGCATTTTCATATTCCGACGAAGAAGTGTATTGAATATGGCTGCTTCTCCATAGTTAGGATCCTTCAGTAATATAGTAATTAGCAATAAACTCAAGATATTGGTCGGACCCGGAGGGAGGATAAACTTGATATTATACTATAAATTTGATACAAAAATCAAAATTTAAGGATTAAAATATCTGGAGCGCCAAGTACTAAACTTGACATGTGTAAGAGGCGACCTTGATTTGCTTAATCAAAGACAAGAGGGCTAAAAAATATTCTACCATCAAAAGATGACAAACACCAAAGAATGAAGATCAAAAGTTGAATATATTAACAGAAGTTACAAGGACAGACTGACTTTAAAAACAAAGGCCATGTTACATAGAAGTCAGAAAGCAAATCTGAAAGCTCATCACCCATGGCAGAAGCGGCAAAGAGGTAAGTACCTACTACTCTAGCAATGGTGACAAATGGCAGCCCTTCTGGCCATTACTTCTATGAACAAGAAGTCTCACCCTTTTGAGGATAACAGAATCTTTCAATTTCATGGACTAAATATCCTTTTTTCTGTATGCAATGATGAGATAATAATCTTTGAATTTTCTGTATGCAATGACGGTACTTGTATAACCCCATTGTTGAAGGTAAAGATACCAAGTGAATACCTCTCCTTTGTCTCTGTTATGCTTCACTCGATGATGGCAAGCTTTTATTCTGTCATTGCTTCATACCTAAATCCAAAATAAAAAGACTAGTTTTGGTAATGTTTAAATTTTATATTGGCACGTCACTAGACTTTAGCGAGCCAAGTTGGCTAGAATAGGCGTGCATCCCTCCCTCTCTACAAGTTAGTTCGAATTCTCTTCTTTGTTATTTATATTAAATTACAATGTGGCACAAATATATTTGGACATCAAATTATATGAGAATACATGTGTATAATAAGTTCACTATCTATCTTTATTATTATTTTTTATGATCGATGAAAGCTTCATTGGTCATAAATAAGAATTTTCATCCACAGAAGCAACATCTGTTCTGTAGAAACACTATCTACCTTTGTTAAATGTATCATCATATTTCTAGTTCTTTGTTGTGGGTTTGAGTGAGTCTAAATCAGAAAATCCTTAAAATTAAACTCACACACCAAAAGATAAGTTTATCATCATCATCATCATCATCATCATCTCTCTCTATCCAAATCTTCCGAACCAAATATAATGAATAAAGAAAAAATTAACTTTAGGCGTGATTTTCGGTTATAAAATTTCAATTTGAACTAAGAAGAAATATTATTTTTCTTGTTCCTTTTGTTGGCAATGTATGGGATGTGAGCAATCTTAGGCCAGTCCTCACCTGTTTCTTTCTTGCACCTTTCGCTTAACATGGGGAACCTATATATTTCCAATCTATTTAAACAGGGGAGTCCACGAGTCCCTTCTGGCAGTGAAGTTAGATTAGGACACTCCAGGATAGTCAAGATAGAAAGACGGGGAAAAGAAGGCAACGGCATATTTTCCGTTGACGAAGAAGAAGAAGCGGTGTTATGAGTGTGCGCCCTCCACCATCCCTTTAGAACAGGGCAATCTGCTATATAGAGGTCCTCCAGGGAGGGGAAGAATGAGATCCTCATCATCTCATCACTCATACTATTACTGCTCTCATTCTCTGATATGTACTCCAACTTCTCCAACCCTTCAAGTTCAAGTTTCTTAAGGGAAGGCAAATGATCCAAGGGTGGAAGATGTTGGCATCTCTTACAATCCCACATTGTGAGATTAACAATATTTATGAGAGAAGAAAACCAACTCGCAAATCTCACACCACTATAGAAACACACTGTCAACTGCTTTAGATTTGAATAGGGTTTCTATACTTCCATTGACTTTATAATATCATTGGAAACCCTAAATTATATGTCTAGATAAAGTAAAACGTTTTTAATTAAATGTCATAGTATCAATTAATCCTTGGAAACCCTAAATTAATAAAAAACTAATCAAAACGTTTTTAATTAATAAATTAATTAAAAACTTAATCCGAAAATTAAAATTAATGAATCTGATTAATTTTAAATTCCAAGGCCCCAAGGTCCAAGGCCCTTGTCTTGATTAATTAATATTAATTGTATTTAGACTATATTATATTCAAGCCTAATCCACACAACCATAAGGTTTAAGCCTTCAATTCATGTCACATCCCACCCCGGGGGGGGGGGACCACTTTCCGGGCTCACTCCACCACCGTAGCACGATATTGTCCGCTTTGGGCCCCGACCACGCCCTCACGGTTTTGTTTCTGGGAACTCACACGAGAACTTCCCGATGGGTCACCCATCTTGAGAATGCTCTCGCGCGCTACTCGCTTAACTTCGGAATTCCCATGGAACCCGAAGCCAGTAAGCTCCCAAAAGGCCTCGTGCTAGGTAGAGATGAGAATATACATTTAAGGATCACTCCCCTGGGCGATGTTGGATGTCACAATCCACCCCCCTTAGGGGCCCGACGTCCTCGTCGGCACACACGCGACCAGGGTTAGGCTCTGATACCAAATTGTCACATCCCGGCCCGGGGTGGATCACTTCCCGGGCCCGCTCCACCACCGTAGCATGATATTGTCCGCTTTGGGCCCCGACCACGCCTTCACGGTTTTGTTTCTGGGAACTCACACAAGAACTTCCCAATGGGTCACCCATTCTGGGAATGCTCTCCCGCGCTACTCGCTTAACTTCGGAGTTCCCATAGAACCCGAAGCCAGTGAGCTCCCAAAAGGCCTCGTGCTAGGTAGGGATGAGAATATACATTTAAGGATTACTCCCCTGGGCGATGTGGGATGTCACAATTCATTTTCAAATGGTCCAAGTTCTAATTACTAAGGAGAAGGAATAAGCCTATATAAAGGCTAGTGAAAAAATACTGTTTCCCATGTGGGACAAGAGGGTCTCAAAACTCCTACACCCAATCCTTATTGTCCAACTTAAACCTAACGTGTTCAAAATCTTCATGTGTTGACAGATTTCCGCATGCAGTATGTCAAAAAGCAATATATGAACATAAATTGTTGTGTGTTGTACATATCCAAAAAATTGCGGAGCACTAAAAACTGCTAGAATCAGTTGGGTATTGGTGGACTGAATGAATCCGAAAGACTTACGGATGCCACTGTCCTGTAAATCCTTGGAAGAAAGTAAAAGTCCATTTTGTTGTTCATGGTGAGCAAGCTCCATTAGCTCCACTGTTGCAACAAATATCTGTTTTGAGCTCAAAACGTGCTGAACAACAAAAGTATTACCCAAAGAAAAATGCAATTGTAGCCAATCCAACTGCTGGAAGTATTCCAGGTGCCACTTGAGTGATTTCCCACTTCGGTGCTTTCTCAATCATCCTTACAAAAGTATCCACATAACACAAACTTGCTCATCCAAAAGTGCCAGTCAACAAGAAGGTCTGAACATTTTGAGTCAGGAAAGAATTATTGAGGAACCCCCAATCAGGAAAATGAAGTGATATAAGGCAGAGTAAACCTTCTTGTCC